GAACATGTTTGGGACATGACTGGTCGGAGACTTCTACGTTATCCGGCTTCCTCGGCTAACGTTGAGGAGCTATGGAGGCGAGTTGAGGTGGCATGGTTGGCCATCCCTCTCGCTACAATACAGCGACTTATAGACTCCATGCCACGTCGTGTAGCGATGGTACGCGAAGCTCACGGGGGATACTCTCGCTATTGATGTTTCTCCTCCCAGCAGACTTATGCCGCTCTCCATGTGAGAGTAAGTTACACTACTTTAGTACTACTTCCATACCAAATTTTATTGCGCTAGACACACGCGTTCAGATTATACAGGGTGTGCTCGTGAATTATTTCCAACAGTGTATTTGATCATTTTCAATTTCCGATAACTCGGTTTTTTTATTCGTAACACACAGTTTCATTTTTCGACTTCGTTTTTTGCAATTAATGGAGTCTATTGTATATGTGGATTTACTGCTTTGTTCTTGAAGTTGAGACTGCATTAATGTGGATGGTAGTTGCTGATCTTGAGTTGATGTTGACGGCTCATTATTATGTCGATCTCCGAATTGTTGGAATTCATCTTGTTTATTTAATTTATCTATTTCAAAATACCCAGGGTGTTTGCGCCTTAAATGGTCGCGGATGTTGGATGTGAATTTAACTTTAAAAGTTAAACGTATTGAAACTTCATATATTGTGTATGCAAAGCTGTTAAGATAATAAGTTAATCTCATTTAATTTTTTTGTAAGATCCACAAAAAAACTTCAAAATCTTCAACCAGATTGAATTAAACTATGGTTGGTAAGATGTTATTAAAACGTTTGTGTTAAATTTTAGAAACGTTTGTTTTATGAATGAAGATGTGGTTTATTATTATACGATGTTAGTTTACGTGGTTATAAAACTTTTGTACCAACCCATAAAGTAAAATACAATAAGTATTTTCCTATCAAGAAGTTCAAATAAGATGGCTTTATATTCGCGGTAAACCAATGGGTTGAATAGGTTTCCAGTCACTACTATATTCTTATTATACTGTACACGCTCAACGGTGGTCGACCCTTTAAAAATAAAATGTTTAAATCCCTTTTTTTACGATTATAACTTACACCTTTTGTTCACGGCTATATTAACGTAAATTTTTTGCATTAAAAGAAAAAATGTTTTGAACTTGCACCGCAATAAAAAGTTTACGTTAGCTTTTATACGACTTCTATAGAAAATAAGAGGGTACTCAACAGTACCATACACACGGTGGGGAGTTATATAATTCGTAGTTTCACTGTCGATAGTAGAAGAAAATATGAGTTATACGATGTACTGGGAACTATACGTGCTTCATAGAAGCAAACATCGTTTACAATAGCCATGAATAATGGACGGGAACCAATTAAAAAGCCGCCGTTAAAGCTGCCTATTCGACGATGAGTCTCCTGTTTAAATACTTGTGTGTGTGTCAATCGTTTTTCAAGAGGTATCTTTCTATTATCTGCTTTTCATACGTCAATATTTTCCTTTTATTCTTTCTAATACAAAAGAACTAATCGAAGCGCGAGTGTTATTGAAAAGAAAAGGAATAATTTCGACGATTGTTATATTCTTTAGAGGAAGATAAAAAGTGTGAGATTGATTTATTTTAATTGCTGACACAAACAAGAAAGAATATCTGTATGATTCTCAATAAACAGTTATTTCTCCGGTCTTGTACAAACAACAAAAATTTAAAAATAATCGTTAAATTAAAATTATGGCTAAATATATCGATATACTTATAACATAAACAGTTATTTTCGTCATATTGTTCAAATTAATGGTTTCACGCTACATAAACTTTTAAGAGACCCATCAAAAACAAATATAATTAGCACATCTTGACAAATTTAATGATTTCGTTATGTGTTAAGAATTATTTCTGTCGGTCGCAATTATTGTAAATTCCCTTAAGGAACACCAGTTTATAGCTAGGACGTCGTAAGTCTTATTATCATAATCTAGCGTGGCACGTGTACGCTACGTGACAACGTCTGAAACGTGTGTTCTTGACTTTGTGGTCACGGTTGATTAAATACGACTTCATCTTTATCAAAGTCTCTCTCTGTTTTTGAACAGTAACCGCCAGATTTTACTGCATACAGAACATTCCAAGAGTATCCACCGTATATTATAAGAATTATTTTTTTTGTAAAACATTTCATTATGTGAGTATGGGTATCTCTACAACCACAGGAGTTGAACGGTTTGTGAAATTAAGGTGCAGCCATCAACCAACCTAAACCAACCAAACCCAAACCTATCTTGATTACAGTTATAATTGAATTCTACTTGATTATGTTACTGTTTTCAAACTGTCTTAGAATTGTATATAACAATTTAAATTTTGTAGTGACAATTTTAAACATAGAAAAATATTTGACACCTCATGTGTTATAAATGAAACTTAAATGAACTTGATAAGGATCTATAAATCCTTTTTAAATCATCGCTGTATAGAATTTATTGCATATCAATGTCAATTTTTTTTTTAAATATTTGATTCGATTACTAATATTCATTCGGATTACATCACGCGTTTATAACAGAATAATAACCGGATAGCATAAGGGGTAATAATAGGTAATTCGTGTTTGTAACTAAACTTAGTCATGCGAAAATAAATCCAATGTAATGCTCGAGCTGTGGAGATAACAGTAAATTATATAAATTATTACGTATGAGGAATGTGGTATTTATAAATTTTATTATGTATTAGAAGATGAAAAGTAATTGGTTATTGTAATGCATCAAAAATTTAAAAAAATATTTTAATAAAGTGAAATGAAGTTAATAATACATGTTTAAGCAACTAATTATACAGGATGATTTATTAGCTCAAACTTTGATATATGATAGCTAATCCAATTACCAAAGAAAAAACAATTAATGAATATATTTCCTATTTCAATTATTTACGAAATTATAGGCCTGCAAAGAATTCGACAATTCTTCAATGGAGTAATATGCTCTACGCAATAAAACATCCTTAATCCTAGTTACAAAAACTTTAAATGTTAAATTCCTATAACTACCAGGCAGACTATTAAAAAGTTTTACTCCATAATAATTATAGGCGTTCTTAGATCTGGTTAGTCTCAATGCATCATGTCGGATGTCACCCCCCTCCTAGTTTTGTAATTGTAAAAATCACCTTTTTTTTTTTAATTGACAATTAAGTAACATTGTAAATTTCAAACATTCAAAGATATACAGGTGTCTCACGTAACTGGTTCGTTAAAACTTTTTTAGGTTCCACTATTCGTAGAGGTTTGAAATTTTGGTAGCATGGGTTGTTCATTCTAAACATTCAATCTAAAATATTTTCAAGATGGCCACCACTTTCGGTCTTCTACCGGAGGTAGACCACAACTTCGTTATTTTAAATAGAATGCTATAGTTTTTATTACACCTTTCAATTATACATAAAAAAATATGTTGACTTTCATAAAAGTTGTTGGTACCTAGCATTTTTTGNCTTGCAGAATGTTTAATGAAAATTATCCGCATTTACCTCCGATGACAAAAGATAAATTTAGAAGAATAGAAGCAAATTTTTTGCATTTTGGACGAATTAATCACTGAACAAAAAATGTAGTAGATAATGCAACGGAAGAGGTGAATGCCATGGCTTATTTCGAGCCCAGTCCTAACACCTCAATTCGAGCTGCCAAAGAAGATCTAGGAATCATATTACGAACTTTGTTGCGCTTTTTATGCATAAAAAATAAATTAAGAATTTCTTGATTTGTGTAAATATTACTTTCGTTATTGTTATCGATTTTAACTCTTTTCTGTGCTAATATTAAGAGACATAACAGATAATTATTTGCTCACATGCTTCAAGTGACGTAAACAAGTGAGTCTTTGACAAGAACTCATTGAGAAGGCTTGCTTTTCATGGCACACTAGGCTAAATATCCATATGATATGTGTGCATTTTTCAAAAAACCCTAATTATCTCCTAAACTATTAATGTTAGGTATGGGACATATGGGATATAAAAGATGTAGAATGAGACGCCGAAGACGAATAAGTAATAAAATATGGGGGGTGCCATTTAAAAAAATGAAGTTATGGTACTTCCAAATTTTGAAAAGTTAACGTGCCATAGTAAAGTGACCAAACGTTCTAGACAGCCGTTCTCGGCACCAAAACATACTCCATCATGTTGTTTAAGCATATTCTCAATCCTAAATTGATATCCCAAAAATTGAGTGTTCTCTGATTTTTTGAACAAATGTCTGCTGGAGCAGATTTTTCTAGAAAAATTCGAATAACTCGAGAACGGCCGAATCAAATTGCAAGAAGTAAACTTATTTATAAACCATGAAAACAGACAAATCCAAATATATAAAAATATACAGAGTGTTCCATTTAAAAAAATTAAGTAGGTGGCGACTTCCGGTATAACCGGAAGTGCAAGAAATCTGAAAATATTTTAGTCGAAGAGATCGTAATTGATAATACTTAAGTCTGAATTCTCAAATTTTATTTTCGCCAGAACCCTAGAAACGTCTAATGACCGGTCTTGCTGAGACACCCTGTATTAATTAAACAAATTTATATTACTATTTAAAAAAATAATCATGTCGAGGTTCTTCCCAGAGAGTCTGTTTCGGCGTTCATTTATAATTTGTCCAGCTTTGGAAAATACTCGTTCTGAAGGAACTGAGGTAGCTGGAATGCATGAATATCTTTTATGCAGTTGATATATTTCAGGAAGTACACTTTTGTAGCGCTTCCAAAATTCAATCGGATTTTGAGTTCGTGCTACAAGCGAGATCTCTAAATATTGTGTAACCATCAATGCTGCAGTCGTGCATGGTGTTGAAATACTTTTTAAAGTGACAATTTCTTGATCAAAGTGTGACCAAATGTTTTCTTTATCATCAGTATTGTCAGTTGTAGTTTCTATGGTCTGTTTTTCAATTGTCTCACCTTTATTTTGTAAAATAGAGGATATTTCTTCAATAATTAATTTTTGAACTATGTCACCATTTTCTGCAACACTAAAAGCTGCTTTTTTAAATCTAGGATCTAAAAACGTTGCTTTTGAGCAAAGTAAATTTGTTTCTAAGATCCCAAGTCGTGTTCTAACATTATCTTGTAAAACAAGTTTTAAAGATTCTGCACTGGTCGTTTTAGGAATGCGGCTTTTTAGCGAATGCTGTAGACATCTTATAAGAGGAATAATTAAAGACATTGTTATATATTTTTCGCCTGATAATTCAATAGTTATTTTTTCAAATGGCTTCAAAATGGATACCACATCTATCAGCAGATCCCATTCTGTTGCTGTAATAAATTCTGGAGCTCTTGGTAGCGATGTAATGGCGGCTGATAATGGGTCTTTAATCGCTAATAGTCTTTCTGCCATAATTAAAGTAGAGTTCCATCTAGTAGATACATCTTGTTTTACTTTTAATTCAGGGTATAGCA